CCTCGACAAACTGCAAACTTTACTAGATGCCGCATAGTTTGTAACTTCTTGGTCTCACAAGCAACGCTTTACAACCATGGTTCTCTCCGAAATGTCTAAAACAGAGTTTTTAATTTGGGTCTGGGTTTTTGGGTCTGTGTTTTCGAGAAACTCCCTGGGTTTTCTCGAAAACACAGACCCAAAAACGCAGACCTTGACAAACCGCAAACTTTACTAGATGCCGCATATTTTAAACAACTCTTCACAACCATGTTGATGAAGTAGATGATCAGCACCAGCAGATGATCCAAGCGCGGGAATATTCGTCACGCAATGCCTCGCGTGACTAACGCGTTATGTCAAATTGTGTTGAAGACATGTTTATTAATCGCGAGAATGAAAGTAGCAAAGAGGGGAGAGGAATGTTTTATTAAAGAGTCTAGTTGACGTCTGATTATAAAGCTTTAAGAATCCGTCGGAGGTACGAGCAACGTGTGTACAAAAACTTGGAACCGAGACGAGTTACATTGGTGTGCTAAAGTCTGTGCATTCTCCCGTAATAAAAGTCCTTTTTTTTATCATAACCAAATGTCGAAAAAACCTTTTCGAGAACTGCAATGTCGAGGCCTCGAAAATGGTTATGAGACTAAGGTTTTATAAAATATGCGGCATCTAGTAAAGTTTGCGGTTTGTCCAGGTCTGCGTTTTTGGGTCTGTATTTTCGAGAAAGCCCAGGGGGTTTCTCGAAAACACAGACCCAAAAACGCAGACCCAAATTAAAAACTGTTTTAGACATTTCGGAGAGAACCATGGTTGTAAAGCGTTGCTTGTGAGACCAAGAAGTTATAAACTAGGCGGCATCTAGTAAAGTTTGCAGTTTGCAGTTTGTCGAGGTCTACGTTTTTGGGTCTGTGTTTTCGAGAAAACCCAGGGGGTTTCTCGAAAACGCAGACCCCGAAAATTTGCTTACGACATTTCAAAGAGAACCATGGTTGTGAAGCGATTTTGTTTTCTTCGGCGGCGCCGGGAGACTCAAATCTGAAGGTCGTAGCAAAGGAGACGAAGATGTTACAAAATGTGCGGCATCTAAAGGTCGCAGCTGAGTCCAGCTCCTAAACCGATCGCTGTAATGCGTAATGGTGGCGTACGAGTCAGTGTTTTCATTTCCTGCCAGCCATTCGGTATTGATGTTTAGGTTTCAGATCTCCTCGCATTTTTGAATTGCCTGGATAGCACACAAGCAGGCGAAGCCTTTCAACATTTTACACCGTAGTGGTTTTTCCCAGGCAGCGATTGCTATCGCCGAACTGACGAGGGACTTGAATTTTTGCCTTCAAGGAATATGTGTAAACCGCGACCTGAAACCAGGGATTGTCTATTAAGGAGCCATAAATGAGTTTGTACCGCCCTCAAAGTTGGACGTGTTCGCGTAAATTATCGAAGTAAGCTTTATTCAAGTAACTCAGAGCGACTTTTACCAAAATTTATTTGTTTGTAGACCACTGGCTTTAACACGAAGCGAATATTGTAATTAATCTTTGTCTACTTCCGGTCGCACGTAATGCTTGTTTTGACTAAATCTCTCTCATCCCAAAAAAAAAAAACTGCTTCAAAACCGCGGTTCTCTTCGAAATGTCGAAAAAAGATTTTCTAGGTCTGTGTTTTTGAGGTCTGTGTTTTCGAGGTCTGTGTTTTCGAGGTCTGTGTTTTTGAGGTCTGTGTTTTCGAGGTCTGCGGTCTGTGTGTAAACCACAAGACTGAATTGATCGACTTTAATCAACGAATACTTAATCAGAAACTTCTAACAGTGACAGAATAAAACGGGGCGGCCACGCTTAGTAAAACAACACAACGAGTACATAGCGAGTACAAGTTTCGACATGGCGGTTCTCTCATGCACTCGAGCACATGTTTTTTA